GGGGGGGGGGGGTAAGTTGAAAAAGTGTATTCCCGCCCACCACATCAAGGTGGAATGCTTCCTATCGGTACGAAGAAGTTCAACCCACGGGTAAAAACTTCTTTTGGCTATTTTGGTCAATTGAGTAGAAAAATGGTTGTAAAATGAATTGGGAGTCCAGAATGGCTACTTTGGACAATTCCCAGGTTGTGTCGATTAGCAGTTTATATGTACTTGAACCTATATTGCTTTGTCTTCTTTTGCTACCTCCATTTTAAGACTTGAATGATATCCTCCTAAAATCCTCCTAATTTATACCATCAAAAGAGTAAATTTTAGACTTGTAGTTACTAACTAAATTATCAGTTGGTTACTGCTTGCAAGATTCTTTTCAAATATACCATGGACGTGGTAAGTAGAAGTATACGATAAGCGCCAATGTACCATTAACAAAAAATGACTGTATTCAAAATGTGAAAGGATTCATATCTGGTTTAAAGTGTAACGATACGAGGTTAGAATCTTAATGTCAAACCCGATGCCGCTACATCTTGAATCGGGGATATATTTGTTTGGGGAGAAGTGATGGGTGTTTAGGTTTTCTTTTGCAACATGAAAGTGGAAACACCCGTTTCTTTTTTTTGCAGTAGTGGATTTTATCATGACCCAGCTGCGGGATGGTATTATAGCAGCAAAGATGGTCTGTATTACAAATTCGAAAACGGGAATTACGTGCTATGGGAAACGGACCAAGTGAGTTCGCTTCTCTTCCTCTTCCTTTGGACTTTCAGGGTGCGTTTGGTGCGCAGGACAGAACAAATACTACTTGTCCCATGTTTCGCGGGACATTTAGACCAAAGGCGGACCTAGAAATATTTTTTATTAGTGGTGGCGCCATTTGATTATAAAAAACGAAGCTATAGATATTTCTACAAAATCATCATTGGTCTGTTGGTTAGTTTCTTGCTTTTTGTATGTAAGGTCCTGTGTTTGAGTATTTTATCCCAAATCTTTTCAGAAACATAATAAACCTGAATTAAAAGCTAAAAACTAAGAAAATGATGCAAATGGGATTCGAACCCATTCCTCGAAGAGGAGAAAAGACTATGCAAACCAACCCTACCAGGAGAAACTTGTGATATTATTGTAGTTTCAAGGAATATATGGTTGCATCCAACAAAATAGTGGCACCTTTCACAACCCTAAAACTGTTTACACTACTTTGGAGGAACGAAATTGTGGCCTATGCCACCATATGCACCATAGTGGCTCCGTTCCTGATTTAGACTGAGAGAGGATATGACTGAGTGGGACAATAATGCATTTTTTGTCCCACCAAAATAGGTGGAACAAAAGTGATGGGACAAAAATCAAGGAGTTCGGACAAGATTGGACTGATTGGTGAAGTACTAAAAAATTAAAACTCGAAAGGCCTGAACAAAATTTTCCACCCGCATACCTTACTTCCGCCCGTCCAATTCTGTCAATCTTGTTCAGGCCCATCTGCGTACCAAACACACACTCAGGTGTTTCAGTTGTCTGTATTTTAAGTGTATTGGTTTGGTTAACAATGTTGAGTCATTTTATTGTCTCAGGCTGATCAATCTAATGCTAATGAAGGTATTGTTACTAGTGTTGGTGATAATTCTATTCATGATGAGTCTTACGACCATGCACCTTGTGGTAAGGATCCAACTGATGTTAACTTTGAAGGAGGTGAATCTGAAGGTTATGTAGCAGAGGAAGCAACTCCCAGTGACCCAATAGGTGATTTGCATTTTCTACTGATATTTTTGCTGTTTTGAGTTGCTTACACATCCAGGAAACAATTTCAAGAAGATATGTACCATTTCCCACTTCAGAGCATCTCCAACGGATTCTCCTTTTTGGAGAAAATAGAGATTTTGGAGTGTTTAACCTATTTTTTTCTTCAACAAATCTTCCAAAACATTCTCCAAAATGGAGAAAATAGGAGAGAGAGGATAAAAATCTCCAAATTTGGAGAACTCTCCAAAATTAAATGCTGAAGAGACAAAAATCTATTATCATTCCATATAAAGTTTGCTAGAAAGTTTCTCTGGAGATTTTATATCTATTGAATTTTTTTAATAATACTATCTACGTTGAAATCTCAAAAATGAAGAAACTGTTGGAAATGAATGTAATTCTTTTTGGAGATTTTAACTTTTGATTCTTCATTTTGGAGAAAATTATAGAGAATCTGTTGGAGATGCTCTTAATGTTACATTTTATCAAATATTAAAGGCATAGTTGTTAAAAGCGATTCTAGGCTCTGAGGCTCACAAGGCTCAAGGTCTTGGGCTTTTTCAAAGTTGAGGGGCGTATTCACGAGGCTCACTAAGGCGCCTTGTGGGCCTAGGCACGCCTCATAAAGAGTTATTAAATACCTAGGCAAACCCGAATATTAAATAACTTATCTCTCATAGACTTCTTAAAAAAAGAGATAACCCCCTCCATCCTAAAATAAGTGTCCATATTTTAATTTTAGTTTGTCCTGAAATAAATGTCCACTTCAAAAAAATAAGTGTATACTTCCCCATTCTACCCTTAAGGGTAACGTTGTCATGTACTTCATTAAAAGTGTAATAATTACACTTCTCCAACGTGTGTCCCATTTTCATTGTGGTCACTTATTTTTGGGACGGGGGAGCTATGCTGTTAATATCGCGATATATCGGATATCGCTCCTAGAGAAAATATCGGTCCATAAATATCGGTCAAAATATCGTCCCCGATATTATCGGCGATATTTTCCGATTTTTCCCGATTTTTAGCAATATTTTGATGCAAATATCGGACCAATATATCGATTTTTTAGGGTTTAAATATTTGGGCTTTTGTTACTTCATGGGCCTAGTTTTTTGGGCTTGGTAACTTAAATTAGGTCTGAAATTGATCTGCCTCCACAANATATATCGATTTTTTAGGGTTTAAATATTTGGGCTTTTGTTACTTCATGGGCCTAGTTTTTTGGGCTTGGTAACTTAAATTAGGTCTGAAATTGATCTGCCTCCACAATGGTCTTCTTCTTTCTTTTATATTAGCTCGTTTTTTAATACTTTAGATGACGTGATGTTTTAATTTTGAAACTATATTTCTAAACTCTAATTAATGCATATTATATATATAATTCTAAGAAATATTATGTTAACCGCTATTTTGGACCTATATATCACCGATATAACCGATATATCGAATATCGGTCCTGACCGATATTTCGTATTCTGACCGATATAACAGCATAGCGGGGGAGTATTAAATAGGTAAGTCAAACCCTAATATTAAATACCCAGTCCTTAGAACTTCAAGCATCCTATATAATATTGTTGGTTGCTGCATTGGAGGCTTGTACTTGCTGCATGTTTGAGTTGTGTGTAACTGTGTGTGTATAATTGATAAGATGTGCCTTGCATTTATGAGGTCCGTGCCTCATGCCTAGGCCCCGGGACCCCTTTGCGCCTAAGTGCGTCTTGAGCCTTTAACAACTTCGATTAAGGGGCTTGGCTATTAACCCACCATGTTTTCTATGATCAAACTACAAGCAATCGGTGATTTGACTGAACACTGGGCTATGAGAATATGTAACTATGGCAGCAATCATCATTAGTTTGGAATTATATAAGTGGTTCACATTCGTCATAGAACATTGTATGTATTCCCACAGTCGATAGTATAGCGCTTTTCAACATCATTCTTGTGGTTCATATATAGGGTCAGGTTCAGGGGAAAACCGTAAAAAAATGAAAATTTGAGGAACACCCTAATAACCATTCATCTGTATGGTATACACATGTGCATAACATGCACACATGCATAAAAACCAAGAAACATCTTCAATTACTTATATATGCATGTGCATACCGTACAGATGAATGGTTATTAAGTTGTTCCTCAAGCTTTCATTTTTTGAGGGTTTTCCCCTGAACCTCTCTCCCCCCCTCCCCCTCCCCCCCCCCTCTCTCTCTCTATATATATATGTCTTTGTGTGCGTATGTATATATGTATGTATTTGACATTAACACACTAATGTGGATTAGTCATAAACAATTATATGGTAAATTTTGCAGTTGATACGGAATGCTTAACCAATGGCCTGCCTGAAAATCTACCACCGCCTTCTGAATGGTACTTCTTTTGCAAGTAGTTAACTTCAGTTACTTTTTTTTTTTTTAATAATCTTCTTTTAACATCCGTGCTCATTTTTGTTTTTAGGCTAGAAGACACACTTATTGAACTCTATTTGTCGGGTTATTCCAACCAAACAATTGATGATGCTTCTGGTGCAAGGACGTTTGACGATCACACTAGCTTAAATATTCCCACAGATGGTTTGTCGAAAATCTTTTTCTTACCTTTAGGGACACATTGCTATTGTTCAAGCAAGACTGAAACAGGTCTAGATTTTGTCCAGGTATAGACGACGTTGATGCTGATGAACTGGAAGAGGGAGAATGGATCCCGGATGACACTCATGAAGCAGTTGATGGACGTGGAGGTGCTTCGGATGAAGGTTCATGTGAATTGTCAAAAATCAAAAGTTTATTTCCCAACGATGACCTTTAGGGTGCGTTTGGTACACAGAAAGGATTGGGCTGGCGAGGGTGAGGTAGGCGGGTAAAAGAAATTTGGTAGGTTTTAGGGTTTTAATTCGACATGGGTAGTTTAGTAATTTACCAAGTTTGTCCCATCTCCCTGATTTTTGTTCCACTATTTTGGCAGGATGGTAAAAATGTTTTTTGTCCCACTCCGGGGGTGTTTGGTTGGTTTCCAATTAAGTCATGTATGGATAAAGTTGTCTGTGTGGATTTGGATTAATCCATCTGTGTATGTTGGGAAGGTTTTTGTTTGGAATAATTTTTCATAGATGGAAGGGGTGTATTTTTTAATTGGAGGGACATGTCTGGAAAAAAATTTGGCTTTCTGCATTAAGCTCCCCCTAAAAGCTTACTAAAGAAGTCACTTTCTATATCATTAAGCTACTACCAAACAATCATGTATAGCTGACCGAATAGTTGTGTCCCCCATTAAGCTGCTAACAAACAGGCCCTCAATCTTATCTGGTCCAAGTCTATTTGTCGCATCATCTGGGACAAAACAAGTTTTTGTTCTGTTCTATCATGTACTATCCCGCGTACCAAACGCACCCTTATGTAGTTAATATAATAAGTTAGAGGTTATTATCCTAGGGGTCGGGTTCAGGGGAAAACCTCAAAAAAAGTGAAAAACTGAGGAACAACCTAGTAACCGTTCATCTGTATGGTATGCACATGTGCATACAAGTAATTTCTAAGTAATAAGTAATTTTTCTGGTATGCACAAGTGCATAACATGCACAAGTAAACATCTTCAATTACTTGTATGCACATGCATGCTATACAAATGAACGGTTGTTAGGATGTTCCTCATGTTTTTCACTTTTTTGGGGGTTTTCCCCTGAACCTCCCTCATTATCCTACTTTACTGATCTTCACGCATTTTTACACATGTTAACTGCCCATGCACTGTTAATCATCCAAAAGTGTTTATCTTGTCCTTTTCGTTGTTTCTTAGATGATTTTGCAGAGGAAGAAATGTGGCGTGCGCAATATGGTCAGGCAATTCAATCAGACAAAAAGCTTGTACCCGATCAGCCGATCATGGACTTATGGGACTGGGCAATGATAACAGGAACCAAAAAGCGTGGAAAACGTCGCATATGCAGATTAGTAGGGCGATTAGTGAGACGGTCCACTAAACTCCACCCTTCAATGCCTTCAAGTGGCCGCGTATTGAAAACGGCTCCAATATGTGAAGTTCTTCTTGATCTTGTACGAGTTAGATCAGGCCGGGTATATAAGTTGAGGAGTCCAAAAGTTGCGTATTTAGCTTCTTTATCGTCTTATGATTCTTCAAACCCAACAAAAGATTGGGGATTCCCAGAACTATCAACGGATAAGGTAACTCAAACAGTAGCAAAATCCTGTCAAGAGATCGAACCCAAAAGGGAAAGAGTCCGTGTTGATGATTCTGGATCACCAAAGGAACTCCTGTCAAGTGAAAAGGTGATTTTTGTTCTTAATAAACACGTATATGTTGCATAACCAAAGGGTCATTTGGCCCTGTGGTACCTAGGTACCAGTAGATCCAACCTTCCCGGAGGTCAAGGGTTCAAGCCTCACCAGATGTGAGGATTGTGTGTGATATAAATATTATACATAGACACACAGTTTTAGGAATGTGTAATTGTTACACTTCATTTAATTAACTAAAGGACAATTTTACCCTTAATAATAGAGAGATTTTCTCCATCTTATAATCAAGGGTAGAACAGGAAAATGGACGTTTACTTTTAAGTAGGACATTTATTTTGGGACCAACTAAAATAGAAATGTGTACACTTATTTTGGGACGGAGGGAGTATGATATATAAATAAACCCTTACCCCAATTGTGAAACCTGGGTCAAAAACGAATAATGAAGGGGAAATTCTTAGCGCCAATTACCAACACAAATTGGGTAAGCGCTAACTGGGTGATAGTGTGGTTTGAGTAAGCATTAAGCCTTAACTGAAAATGCTTACCGATAAAATACCTTTTATCATCTTTGTGTTGACCCGGTAAGTGAAGTTAATAATGTCGACCGGGTAAGTGCATGGTTAGTCAAATCAGTATTTAGGTAAACTAGTTGATGCTGACTAGGTCAGCAGTAGGTAAACAGGTATACGTCTAGGATGCTAGATTGCCATAAGGTTGTAAGCAGAAAATGGCAGAGAGCTATGCTGTTAAAGCGGTCAACATATCATGATCAGGACTGATTTCAAATAGCGGCTATTGTGATGGTAAAAGGATGGTATAACGGTCCAAAAATAGTGGTTTATATATTAAAATTATATATACATATATCTATGTTATGCAGCGAAAAGTTCCATTAGGAACCCTGGAACCACCCATAGAACATCACATGTCCCTCTTTAGGATGAATATTCATCATGAATGATACATTCTGATAAGTATGGATTTGTTATTCATCACGAATAACATGTTCATGATGAAGATGCCATGTGTCATGCTTTGGGTGGTTCCAGGTTCCTAATCAATTTTAGCCCCTATATATGTATGTGTGTATAATATGTATTTAGGCGAAGGATCGTGTGAGAAGGAGAGTTGAAGATGAGAAGCATAAGAAGGGATCTGGACCCTTGATCACCTTTAATCTCAACCCTCCCATGAAACGCTCTTGATACGGGGATTGATCCCGTGCATCTCATCCTAATGTGCATCCAAGGGTGGAGATCCCTTCTTACACTTTTCACCAGAACCCAACCGTTATAGCCATATATGATTATTTTTTGCATGATTATATCCGGTGAACTGCATGTAACCACACACACACACACATAGTATTTAACATCCTGCTGTCTTTACAGCTTAAAGGGCATGCATATAGAGATAGAGCTGCTGAGAGAAGAAGCCTACATGGTGGTTTTGGTGTTGGTCCCGGACAAAAGAGAACAGCAGATACTGATTCTTCATCTTCGTCTCCCGTTTCTGCTACTCCAGAAGAAGCTGTAGCTGAAGCCTTGAATTTGTCATTCGGAGTTGGTAGTTATGCCCGAAAGATTCTAGAAGGCATGGGCTGGAAAGAGGTATTATACTTTGCAGTTTTATCAGTATTAGGTTCTCATAGTGTCGCCTGATTCATGCCGTTTTTTTCACCGGATTGGCACAAACTTGCATCTCGAACAGATTCTCTAAAATAGAGAATATGAAGATTTTGTTATCTATTTTGCTCCAACAAGTTCTCTATATTGTTATCTAAAACAGACAACTCCAAGTTTAGAGAATTCTCTAAAGTTTAGAGAACTCCAGTATAGAGAATTCTCTAAATCAGATTGAATTATTAATATTTTATTTTAAAAAAAAATATTAAAAGTGTATTGGAATGATAAAACTATAGAATATTTTTTTAATATAATTAATGTTGAAATCCCCAAAATAGAGAATTTGTTGGAGTTGATTGTAAATTTTATCTTTTGATTCGCTAATTTAAAGAAATTACAGAGAATTGTTGGAGATGCTCTGATACTCTCCTTCCCAGTATAAGTGTCTACTTTCCAATTCTACCCTTAATTATGAAATGAAAAAAAATATTACTCCTTTTATTATCAAGGGTGAAATTTTTGTTCTATCTTGTTGATATATTGGGAAATTTTTAGGAGCCCTAAAAGATATATTTGCTTTAATCTGATGTGTGCTCCCCTAAGTTAATAAAGAGTGACCGCAGCTTACTGGTAGTGTTATTGCATAACATTACAAGTTGCAAGGTCGAATCCCTTTGGCGCCCTTTAAAGTGATGCTAAAAAACCATTCATATGTCATTTTAAATGGAACCGTATCAATTAATTAGGAAAACCCCGAAAAAAAATGAAAAACTGAGGAACACTCTGGTGATCATTCATTTGGACAGTATGCACATGTGCATACAAGAAAATGAAGTTGTTTCTTGGTTTTTATGCACGTGTGCATATTGGACAAATTGCTTACAAATTACTTGTATGCACATGTGCATAACATCTGGTTTAACAGTTACCAAAGTGTTCCTCAGTTTTTATTTTTTGCGGTTTTCCCAGAACCCGACTCTTATTTTATATTATGTTATTTATTTGTGCCCATGCTTGGAGTTGGAGACCGGATCGAATTTTTTTCTCAAGTGAGAACTTGAACCTGAATGTTAGATCGATAACCCTTTTTTGCACGGTGCAGGGTGAGGCTCTTGGGTGCGGCATGAAGGGGTTAACCGAGCCGATACAAGCAGTTGGAAACAAAGGAAGTTCGGGTTTGGGATGGAATCAGAACAGCAAATGGAAACACGCCCGATCTGAATCTAAACTGTCTTGAATGATTTATGTTGCCACAAGCTTCGTGTGTCGAAATATGTGGATCGATCTGTGTTTGCACTTGAACCGATCAAATTTCCACAAAATCCTGAGATTGGCTCGTAAGGCATTGGTTTTTATGTCCATGGGTCATGCTGGAGGATGTTCTAATGTCAGATATGGATACATGTTTTAGATTTTACCCAATTATACGTATTTTAACCTTTTACGTTAATTATACATGTTTTAGCCTAATTATAACGTTTTGGGTTTTTTTTTACCCTTTTAGTTGATTTGGTGATTCCCGATTCCGGCTTTCGAAGAGTGTTAGAAGAATGACTATATTGAAGTGAATTTCATATATTACTTTATTAAACGGTTCTAAGCAAATAGCAGGAAATCGTGGTGAAATTTTTGCGACTCATTCATGAATTGGTGCATTACGATGAATTGGTGAATTGGTGATTTTATAAATTTTAACTTGTTAAGTTAAATAAGTTCTATTTTGTGTTCGAGCTTGAAATTATTAAGCTCGAGCTCAAGATAAACGAGCTACTCGTTAAAAGTTCGACTCCACCCCTAGATGCACCCATGACAAATAACAATTAAACCATATAAAATCAATAGATGAATACGCTTGATCAGATAAAACCAAACTAACCACGTAAATCCCATGTGGAGTATGTAAAAATAATGTACGTAAACTTTACTTCTATCCCGAGGGGTAAAGAAATTCCGTAAACATCCACCACTTGCATATGGAGACAAACTACATAATAGAATGTGCAAAGAAGGAATAAGAAATGCTTCATGGACGTACATGAAATAAGGATTTTCAAATACAAACAATGTAAACGTTATAAACTTTATAAACTAATCTCGACCGTACATTTAGATAATCAGCGATGTGATTAAATCGATTCATAAATTTACTTTTAACTACATCTTTAACGTTTTGGTAACCGTGTCTAAATTTCAAAATAAAGGATGGAAATTAGGTTTGTAACAATTACTTTGTTTATATTGTATACTCACTCTATGAAGTAAATAGGCTAATCAAACAAGAAAAACACAAAGCGCAATACTGAAAACTGCTGGTACACAAGGGGAAAAAAGCTAATAGACATAAAATGTAGGGGAAAAAACTAAGGGGGGTTTACAAATAGGCATGGCAACAAAGCGGGGAATGCAATCCTCGGCCCTAGTTCCACTATCTCATCCCCGTCCGGTCCTCCTACGAGGAATCAAATCCCTACCCGGTTTTTGTTGGGTCTATCCCCGGTTCAATAATAAATTATGCAAAAAATGGTCAAAATTGGTTGAAAATTATAATATATTATATAAAACATATTAATTCTTTTTAATTAATATATATACATACGGAGACAAGACAGGTTGAGGGAACACATTATTCAGCCCCACTTTTCAACATATCAAGGATCCACAGATCCGGTACCTATAATTTTTACAGAGAATCCTTGGCCCCAAACAGGGAGGGCCAAATCACCATGCCTATTTACAAAACACTTACCGGGTAAGTGCTTATCGGGTGTCACTTGCTTTAAGAGGTAAGCATGGCAACAACCAAAAATCTCACCCAATAAAAAGCATGCAAAGACCGATAATCTTACCCCATAAGCGAGGAAGAAAGACTCTTACCAGGTAAAAGAAGCTTGCGAATAATCCATTTTTTTCACGAGAACGGTAAGTAATAAAGTAAAAGGTGATGATTCTTACAGGTATACTGGTAAGCAGACCCTAAGACAACTCCTTATTGGAGGCAAATCTGGTCCACATGCACATATGCACCTTATTTGCTAAGAAACAAATTGAGATTAAATGATGCTAATAATCAAAGAAATCACAACTACAGCTACCCTTTTCTCATCCATGCCACAAAGTATATGTTACATATGTAAATACATGGAGACCCATAAATACAAACTTGTTCAGCTTCGTATCTCAAAACTTGACGTACATACACCGACTGACATTTTTCAGTAAAACCGACTTGACCGGAAGGGAAGTGGTAACAATCTACGAGTTATCATTCTCGGCTTCCACCGACACTGTAGCATCCTCATCGGTATCTTTCTTATCAGCAGCAGCAGCAGCTGTCTCAGTTGTCTCCTCTACCATCCCCTTTTGCTGCAGCAGTTGCCTTAATCTTTGGATCTCACTGTCTTTGTCTTCAAGCTTCTCTTCCAAGATTAGTACCTGAATAAATAAGCCCAAACCCCGAATGTCACCAACCATCATTAGTACTCGAATCGAAATTTCTCTCATTTTGAAGCAGAAATCACAATCGGATCGGACTATTTACTCCAAACCATTTATTATGATTAGAGGGTGCAACAACTAGTCATGAATAAATAAAAACGAACCGAAGGGTCATTGGTGTAGTGGTGCTCGGTCACCCCACCTTCCTGGAAGTGAGGGGTTCGAGTCTCACCAAATGTGAGAGAAGTGTGTGAGTTCAATTTGCTGTATATAAAATTATAGATACTTCAAAACAAAAAAGAGCCAAGGGGTCAATGGCCCAGTGGTATAAGGGGTTACCGATAAATCCTAGTCCTCCCTAAGGTCAAAGGGTTCAAACCTCACAAAAGATGAGTGTGATTATTTGGTGTAAATGAATATTATATAGTTCTAAAAGAACGAGATATAGAAACACTAAGATTTTAAATAATTTGGGAACTTCCAGGTCTCATCATATAAAATGATAGGAAACCAAACAAAACGAGCCTAGTATATCCCACCTCGGAGGTGGGGTTTGGGAGGGATGAGATGTATGTAGACCTGACCCCTACCTACTCCTGAGGGTAGAGCGGTTGTTTCTGGGAAGACTTCCCGGATTGCAAAAAGAAAGGCGGCCCGAAAAGGCTGAACAAAGGAAAAAAAGAAGGCTAGAAACAAATTAAGATAAGGAAACCACTGCAAGGGACCCCTAGTCTATTATAGGGTTCTAGTAGCCCATCACCCACCTCTCGAGTGCCTTTCAATCCTCCTGCTTGGCCTAGCTAAAATGATAGATAGTGAACAGATATCAAGCTTGCTAAACGGGGCATAAGATAACCAAAAAAACCGATGGGGTGACAAATAAGAATGATAAAACATTGTTTGAAACATGATAACAGGGGAAATAAGTACGAAGTAATCACAAACACAAATTATGGAGGGGAGAGAGGCACACCATTTCATTTGATTTTTCAACATCATTTGTCAGTCCCTCCATGTGCTTGCATAATCCTGCACGAAGTAAATGCAAGCTAATTAATGACATGATCTCAGTTAAAGCAAGTAAAAGATCAGCATGGTAATATGATAGAAACAACAGCCTAAACATTTATGCACCAGTTCTTCCTCGTTCCTTTATTGTAAGTGCAAGCAAACAGGTCCTACTGGACCTACCGTTTCACCATTTGCATATTTCTATTTAATTAACTTGTGTTAAATAATCACTCAAATCCCTAAATCCTATTAAAAAAGGAGCCTAGATAACAAGTAAATACTAATTTTGCCCCACAAGTGACATCACTTCCATTTGGGATGTCCGATAGTAAATGAAGCATTAGAAATATGATATCTTTCTTGAAATAGAAGGACCAATACAGCTTTACTTTTTGTTTGTTATAAAACTAGTATTAACTTGGTCCTCATGAGGTATATTGGTTGGACTTCATCACTGACGTTGGCTGGGTTAATCCTACCTGTCATTATGAGGACAAGAAGGTTTTTGATCATCAAAGGATTAGCCCTCATTGATTTAATTTAACCTACTATTCCCAAGTAAAACTTTTAATTTCAACACTTCCTCAAACGCAGGTTTAGTGTAAACTTTAAAAGCTCATTGATTTTTCCTTCAAGTTAAGAGATCATATCAACTTTGAGGTTGAAAGTGGTCTGTTGACCATGAAGAGGCAAAAGCAAGAATTATCTCTAGATGGTACTCACTGCACAAGGGACTCAAAATCTCCTTTCACTTCAGAAAACATTTGATAAATAAACAAACCTCGAGGCTCATGGTAACTTGTGATCCTTTTAAACATCCTAATTAACGTGAGATTAAACAATGATGCAAAGAGGTGTTTTTATCGATATAATATTAGATTATATAATAAAATAAAAATAACTCAACCTTCAAAATGGTTTCGGAGTTCTACGTTCTGAGATTTCTGCAGCGCAAGTTTCATTGACAACTCATGTATCTGCAAACCAAAAATATGAACCGGTTGGTAACCAGACCTTGTGAAACTTCCAGACCATTCAATAACAGATAAAAATCTGAGAGCACAACAATTTCACCATCTTCAAGTAATGAGTGCCAGATAACAAAAGCATTTGCTTGTACTATATCAATGTCATGTCAGTAGTAGACTTCACCAGTTATGCAAGACAGAAATCAACCAACTCTCTCCCCCAAAAAAGAAGAAAAGGTAGAAGCTATCCAGATAAGATGTGCAAGAGAAGAATCACATCCCCAGTTTTTCTGATTTGAAGAAAAACATATATATATATACACACACACACACACACACATATATATATATATATGGGTTACCAGCAGATTTTGGCACACAAGGGAACGTGTCAAAGTACACAAATATGTGTTCGAAAAACTACATAATCGCTAACCTTTCCTTCCTTGGCTTGATTTCCAATCTCCTCATTTTCTTCCTGCAGGGTCCTGCATTTAGCCATAAGCATCTTCCCCATTTTGCTTTGTGGGGTGAAGTTGACAGCAGCTACATTATCCTGCAGCTCCTTCACTTTTTTATCCTTCTCCTCTACCAAATTCTGTAAATGCAGTGCTATTAGTAATGTATAAGAGATGCTGAAACAATCAAGTACGAGCCAGAATACACTAAATTTTAATCAACATAAAGGTTGCGTGTGTTTATTGTTGAGAAATCAACGGCACGACGACCTGGCAGTCGGATACCGTCATGACTCAAAGTTGTGCCGTGATAACTATGAGCGGAAATAGAGCATAGCTAGTCTGATCATAGCAATGTATCATGAAATATTCAGGGTTTGCCTATCTACCTTCAAACGCATAAACTCCTCGTGAATTGCTGGATCAAGTAATAATCTCCGTGCCTGTAAATTTTAACACAACAGAAGATTGAGTGACGGGAAGCAAGGCAACCATGTTATTGGAGACATTTTGACTTGGGGCGGCGATCTAATAACATATTAGAAAGAAAAAAACAAGAGTTAACAAAATGCAGTAGCTAATATTCCTACATTATTCCTACAATTTCTTATGAAGTATTCTCTTTAAATAAAAGAAACATTCTTTTTGTTGTTGGTGTGATGCAGGGATAAAGGAATGCCATCTGCAACAATTTGTACTGGCAAAAACAAAGAGAGCTAAGGTGCAACTATAAAATAATCTCCTTAACAACTCCCTTCGCCCCACAATTGATGCAACATATAACATTTCACGAACAATGAGAATAGCATTAGAATGATACTTTAAGTTCTCAAACAATACATCACACCAGATCAAGCGGCCAGAACATGTATGCACTGATGCACATGAAGGTTCTATATAATCCAAAACTTTAATTTGAAGAGTGGGGGTGGACCCGTGTGTGGACATAAGCGAGGGTAATTGGTCGCTAAACATTCAAAATTATGTGCACCCCTCAAGGCAAAAAACTTTTCATTCATGGTGGTTGAGAAGATTTCTGATGATGCAGTGGACCAAGCCTCTACCCAACTGTATCGCTTCAGCCAACAGATTTCCAGTTTGCAAAAGAGGATTTACTTTGTGTAACATCAAATTGTGATTCATATTCAAGGAAAGATGTTGCCTCTCTACCTCTTGAGGCACAGAGGAAAGGTTTGCATACATCTCCCCCCCCCCCCCCAAAAAAAAAAAAAAGAGACCCTACTTCTGGGCTGGATGTGCGTTTGCTTGTTTATCTGGCTCGGTTTATCAAGGAAAGATTGCAATCTATAGTTGTGGGAACATCTAAACTTGCAAGCAGCTCCGTACATATAAATATGCTATGAAATAACTTTGTCGTGTAAAGCATGGAAATAGACCTTAACATGAAATTACCTTGACCACATAAAAACCTCTGCTGCTAAAAGCAAGAAAATCACGAGGCGAGGCCCCTTATCAAAGTAAGGGTGTCAAGAGATCTAGGGACAACTACAACTGAAGTATTGATATCCAAAATAATGGGTGATTGGTCAGCAAGCTAAAGCACAATTACAAAGGCCATCAATTATAACAATTACTCATTAAACATTGGATACTTGCAAACCATGAAGAAAGGAATAACCGCAAGTTATACTGCACGATTTTAAGATAAAATGATAAATGGCTCCAATGAAGGGATAGATTGTGACTTGGGAAAATCAAATGGCATATTTAAACTGCTTGAATTCCTGTGATAACTATATTAAACTTTGTAATAAGCATCAAAGAAGTAACATAATAGGTATTGATATGACAAGGGCTATGTCTAACATCACAAACCCAAAATGTATAGGGATAGATCAGAGCATGCCTTGATCTTGCAGAGACACAATGTGTGCATCTTCTATGTATCTGGTCATGTAACAGGGACATATACAACTCTATTTTGCAATAAAATAGTTCAAGTATCATTCAGAATTCCTGGAAGATTATTTTGCCTCACAAGAGAGAGAGAGAGAGAGTATTGGTGTACCTGCATTGATAGAGGCTTGAGTTGCGATCTTAAATCCCGAACTGCAGACTGAAGTAAAAAAACCAAAGTTATCAGTTGACACGCATTTGAAGATTTTCTAACATGTAAGAACTTAATGAGCTAATACAATTCACCAATATCAAATGGTACTAGACTTTTCTTAGAGAGTGAGAGAGAGGCTTGACAAAGCCTCAGTCAGGACAGATTGGAGATGGGAAGGAAACTATGAAGTTAAAACAAGAGAGGCAAAGAGATCAAGGAATCGAGTTCAAGGAAACCAGCATCTTCATGAGACTTTCCCACTGAAAGTTGAAACATCATCAATTCCATTTGCACCCATAGCGACTATTCTGGGCATTGAGATTGACTATGGCCATAGGGATTTGGCATTTACCACCTACTCAATTCTCCCTTTATTATTTCTCCATGTCAATCTTGGCCGACCTCTATACCTCTTAAAGTTCTCTTGGTAAGACTTAAGAGTACTCTCTTCTAACAGGCTTATTCAATGTTGACAACAGAGATGACCAAACCAACTCAGGCTGTATTTCCCAGGGTTTTTCTCGAAGTCGCCACCCTGATACCATTTGTGTCATTGTTTCTAGTCGTATTCCTCAAACCTCAAAAATGCATTTGCATTACACCCATCTTGTTTACAGGATGTTAATTAAAGTAGGCATATGGAGCACAATAGTGTGGTTTTTTTAAGCTCTAAGAAACCCCTTGAAGATACTTTGCATATAAGAAACAAGATGGATCCAACTCATTGAAAGTTACCTTTATTAAGATATTGATCTAGCATCCATTTACCCTAGGTGGTGCCGATTCTAACTTACTGGTCATTTGTAACACTGAGTCAACCATAGACATGAAGAACACAAAAAAAAACTTGTTCTTTTACCAAGTAATATATAAGAGCTGACCTATGTAACAATTTTTATACTTGTAACTTGTAAGCTTAATATTCAATCAAATCAAACAGTTACCATTAAAGCAAAGTAGGTCTCAACCAGAAAAAGGTTTACTGAGCAGCATCTCCATCCCCCCATCTCCATCCAATGATCATGACACCATAGTCAGTCAACATACCCCACCACCACTGTCACAGTCACCTCCACCACCATCTCTAGTACCCGTTGCCTCCAGCATCAGCATAATTTTTACTACCGCCTAATCTCCATCACCCTTCTGAAACAGCCATTGACGGTCCTAAGCTGAAAAAAGGGTGTACACACGCATGGAAAGGGGAGAGATGAAGAGAGACCAAGGAACTTCCACTTGCCTCCACCAACAAACAAAATTTGAATTTGCTAATAATTTCAGGGAACTGCTTATATGAGCATCACCATGAGTAGCATGTGTGCTTAGGGATCTGGATGCTAAAGACTTGAACAAGTCAACAGCATTGCCATGAAGGACAAATACAGAAGGTTGGATGGAGGCATTTTACAGACGAGAGGTTTTGTCAGTGAAGTAGAGCACGTGGCTATCTTTAATTGCAAAACAACTTCCAGGATTCTCTTAGAGGCTTAAGTTTCAGGTCTTCCTGTTATAATTTTCCTTTCGTAACTGAATGAAAGAAGGCTTTAGATTCCTTGTAAGTTTCAATAAAAATCTAATGAAACTCTAAAAATCAACAGAATACCAGCTATATTGGAATTAATAGGTACACACAAGTGTAACTGCACAATTTTTTTTAAATATAGAAGTATAAAGCCCTTCCATGTGTAAAATGGAGAAAGAAATATGCACCTTCAAATCCGCTATTTCCTGCTCTCGCTTTGCAATGGTTACTATAAATGCAGCTTCCTTTTTCTTTGCTTTCTCCAGCTAAAAACAGTAGTAAAATAACCATATGGATCAATACAATATTGGCATTAACTTGCCACCAAAAAGGCATATACTTAATGAAACCAAACCTGCTCTCGCACTGATTCCTCAGAAGATTTTAAGTTCTGTAGGTAATTGACGACGATTCTAGGTTCTGCATGGATAACAAAAATATTAATGACACTACTTTCTCATAAACAAAATATAATATGCCATGAATTATCTTTTTTAAGGCACTAAAGCAATATATTTAAGAACCAACCAACTGATGTGCCTGACGGAATGAAGGACTCGTTCTGAAATGCAGAATGCCACTTCTGAACTTCTGACTTTGCAGCTTCAAGTTCTGACTATAACCAATATCAATAAGATCAAAACAATAAGATACCCATATGGAGGATAGAGACACATGTAAACTAAGTAGATACTCATGCAATTGCAGATGATGCCAACTTTACATTAAGGCATTACATTGGTATTTTAGATTACAAATAACTTGTTGCATAATAATTGAAGGCATGAAAGTAACAAAGACATGATCAAGATAAGTTTATACATACTTGGGATGTTGCAAGAGTATCCTTACAGCTTTGAAGACTACAAAAGGCAAAGCACAAAAAAAGAAAGCAAAAACGGATTTATGCTTGATTCAGATTTCAGATGGTATAATTACACAAAAGACAAAAAGCTTTTAAAAAAAACGACCAAGAAGAATCAGTTGTTGATACCTTTCACGAAGGGATAAAATCATCCCTGTTGCCACGCCTGGTGCAGTTTCTTCTACTTTTAAGTTAGCCTGAGATGTAAAAAAGAAGTAAAAGCAAACATCATATTAATGATTAAATACATGATGATATAGGAAATACAAGCATCACATCAGCTACGCTCACAATGTAAGATATGAAAAGTAGAGACTAAAGAACATGTAATATAAGATTCAAAAGTTCCAGGCTAACACCAGGCACTCGCACACTGCAGCTGTCTTAATAAGGCTTCCCTGTCCCTAAGGCTTGATTTGGTGATACTTGCATTTTCTGTTTACATCTTTGGGTAATGTAAACAGAGTCGTAATTCCTACTTGACAGCAAATGAAGACGTATTTGACACTATTTAGAAAATTTTGATAAATATTCAAAATAGAAATTGTTTTTACTAGGTTTGAAAAAACAACCTCGTTAAAGTCAAATAGTCAAAGCATTTTTTTTTCTTGTAAACAAGTTCTGTAGATCGTGAAAACATCAAAACCAAGTTCACAATCTATAATAGATGACATTTTGGGTTTGGGTTTGTGTGTGGATATTTTCTCTCAAGTAATCTCCATGTTCATAGTTGATTCTTCATCTTTGGCCATCGTGGCCTTTACCCCTCTTTTAAAGGTGACTTTTCCATGTCAAGTCCTTTCAACTTCTTATATTATGTTGTTTGCCATTAAAATATAGCGTAAACTATAAATGACTCAAATATGTTTACCATAAGGAGCAGCATAGACCAACCATGGAGGCATTGACAAATGTGCAAGTACAAACTACCAAATACTTGGAATATTTTCCATCTACTTTTCTTCCTACACTAAACAAACCATGAGAGAATCATAAAAGAAGACAAACCCTCCATGCTTTGTTAGTTTAGTGCATGATTATTATGCTGAAAAATGCCATGGCAGTTATTTTACCTAACATCTCTTTATCAGGTAGCCTGCACATAGCCTCAGAGGTGCTCATGATTGCATTTTGATTATCCTTACCTACTTGTATTAAGCATCTAAACCATGAATTGTTTCCTATGATCCAACAAATCCAGGCAACTGCTGTCTCACAAACCAAAAACCCGCTTCTTTGAAATCTCTTGAATTGTGAATAAATGCTAATGGTTCCTCCTATAACACTTCAATGTTGCATCAACTAGTAAATAGTAATCATCCTAAAAAACCAGAATAAAGTCATAATGATCTATAGCAGGTTTTGATGGAAAAGTTCTAAATTGTGGTTATGAATAAACAACAACATTCAGGGGCTGTTTGTTTGCCTCTTAATCGCTAAGAGGCAGAGGCTGTTTGGCAAAAAAAATAGAACCTCTTAATGGTGACAATTGGCTCTTAACCATTTTGCATCCTATACCTCACTAAACCATTAAGAGGTTCATTTTTCCAACTATGCCCTCCTTTCCCAAATCATCACCGTCTTCTCGTCTTCTCCCC